GGTGAAATACCGTTAAACTCTCCTTGCAGATTGAAATCTGCGATTAAAGCGGGATAAACGCATTCGACTGTGTTCTTCGAATGCGCAACTAACTGGTTTTAAAACGGCACGTTGAACTTTCGTTAGGAATTCCTCGTTCGTGCGTCGAATTAGTTTCCGCGGGGGAGGAATTGTTTTGAATATTCTCAAAGCACATTTGAACGCGATGATAATTAAGGAAAGGTATTCGTGTTTTTAAATTAACTATTTATTTACTCGCGCCCGCGTGAAGTATTACAGGAAATATTTGCATAAAATTTATCTGGTTTCCGCTTGACACCAGTAAAACCTGCGCTGGACGCTCTTTAATGACAACGGCTGCTCTTTATACGAATACATTTGTTGTATGTATGTATACATTCTACATAAAAGAAACGATAATGTGCATTGTTTACAAGTAAGCCAAGTAGAATAGAATTCGCTTCACTTCGTTACAGCGGGATTTGTTGTTAATTTCGGCAGGTCGATGATTCGAATGTATATTAATGTGTAATTAAGCCGCAATCAATTACTTATCCAAATATGCCACTAAATGTATGAGTCACCACGAAATGACAAGCATTAATGGCGTCTACCCGTTTCCCGAATTCATGGATTCGTCACTGTATCCCGAACCAGTCGCGTACCTCTCTGCGTAAACAGGATTTAAATAAAAATTAGCACGCGTTGTCAATATGAAATAAGGTCTACCTGCACGTAACATTTGAGTTACATGAATCGCAATTGGACTGTTCTCACTAATCTATCATCTAATCAACAGAACGGAAAGCAAAAGAGTATTTATAATTCAAAGAATGTTATTGGATTGAAATCATTAAATCACTTTATCATTAAAAATTTCGCATTATATGCATCAAAAAGTAGTAGCACATACGTATATGTCTCCAGCTTTGTGGTCACACTGCTCTCAGCTTATCTTCGTTTCAATGAAAAGGGACTTACTCTATGATTATGTTTGCAGAGCGCTCAATAGCGCACTTCGTGAAAGATCAGACGGACACTTTTATTATCTTTGACCACATCATTATGTCATTAGTATCCTAGTTTATAATATCAACAAATAAATGGAAACATGTACCATTATAAATAATTTTTTACGTAAACAAACAACGTGAAACGACACGAAATTCGTGCGAAATTATCATTACTCATATTCCATAAATAAATTAATTTTCCAATGCAAATACATTATGCCGACTCGAATAAATAGAATGATCAATTTTAACCAAACGTTAAATTACAAATTTAATGGAAGTTATTCAAGTTAAAATACTAAAAGAACATGGTTCAACGTATAAATTTGTAATATTAATTGAATACATTCATACTTTACAGAGAATAACGATTACAAGAAACACATGGTAGTTCTGTATGAAAAAATATGATAAACATATTACACAGAATCAAGATTAAAAATTTGTGGAGTACACACGCATCGGGCTATCTCGGCTACATGCGGGAAATATAACGGACAGGATGTTATTCTGTATGAAAAAATACGTAAAAAATGTGGAATAAAGTTTGTTCGTTTGGAACCTCGTTTTTCAGAAAATCCAGTTTGAAAATTCATCAAATACGCTAGCACATTTGCTGAACTCTAGATAGAGTATGTTCAAACACGATTTTCTCAAAAAGGAAAAGTCAAATGAAAGAACTTTTTTTAACTGACCTTTTTATACAAAATAATTATTATTATTATCATAATTATGTTTCATTCATAATATTTCAAACATTATTACTTTCCCTATAAAAATTAAATCTCGAATTTTCCTATTATCCTCGTAGTAATCATTATTGTTTTATAATTGTTTTAATTACTGTTTACATCAATTGAATAAATAATCCCATTTTCTGTTAGTTCAATAATTTTCTACAAATTTTTCTTCTCTGTTTCTTTCCTATCATAATGAAATACACAATTGAAATAAAATAGTCCTATGCGCTGAATAAATGTAATCAAAATTAAGTTCCTATCGTTGTCTACGAAATTCAATATTAGCAATTATTTTCACTTACGTCGTCGAAATTAATGAATGCTTCGTACCGTATCGCCTATTGAACGATGAGACCATAAGAGGATAATACAAGTTCCTTCATGCACGAGGAACCAACTAATCGATATTTATTGATTGTCCTTTGGAAACCCAGCACAAAAAGCACGAACCAGAATCCTTTCGCGTTTACTGTCGTTTTAAGTCTTGAACATTCACGCGGCTATATGAAATTCATTGAATAAACGGAATCTCAATTTATTTTCGCCGAGTTTAATAAAATGTATAAACGAACGATTCCACACGCACACGTTTCCCATTGGTAAAGAAAATAATTCTCAGATAATCCTGCGTATTTTCAAGTACGCACCTTTGAATCCTGAATTTATATTGTTAACTACATTTTTTTTAAATATAAATAAATTCCAATAAACTCAAAAATTCCAATAATCTGTATCAAATTTATTTTTTTCATTAATATGCATGCTCTTTTATATTATAATATTAATTTACTTGAAACATTTGACAAATGGGAACAATTTTAATCGTCGTTTCGAAAACAGTCTATCATTCCTATTCCCATATAAACGTTGTCGCTAAAACTTTGAATACAACACAGAACATAGCGTTTTCAATGCTGTGAAATCGAACTGAAACATGGAAAAGTTTGACGGACAATAACAACAAAAAAAATGGATTGTTATTAGAATAAACATACAGAAAAATAAACATACGTACGCACGAAAGGATAAACGCGAAATAAAAAAGACTTTCATGGACGTAGAAATATAAAAAATCCCCGTTACGGAAAATTCTCTTATGCGTTTGGAAAATCAATGTAAATTTCACATCAATGGAATTTCATACGAAATACATGAATCGGATTATATTGAGAAATGATTTTCACGAATAACTGCTGATCTACTGTAATTTTTGAAATGCAAATAGACTAACAAGAAACTTACAACATTATTTTTCTGATAATGAATCTCATAATATCTATAAACCCATTTGACTGAGGTTACTGACAGAAAGTTCAATTCACTTGCAACAGTAATAATACCACCTTTGAATGCTATGAGTGCATATACGTATCCGGCAGAAGTCATCGCTGTGAAATATGTACGCATATATGCGTTTTCGAAATTTTTGATCTCACGTGCGTGGTGACAATTATAAGTGTATGAGATTAACATACACACGCGTTTCTTAGTATTATTCAATTTGGCGAAACTGAGAAATTACAATTGCAACTTAATCACGCTTCGAATGAATTAACATACTTCATCGATCTTCAAACGACAAACTAAACAGAGAAATATTTCCTCCACACGGAATATGACAAAAAAATTATTGTTTTGCAAAAAGTCTTTTGAAAATTTCGCAAATTACTTGTTAGTGAATCTGCACCTTTAGGGTTGTTTCCACAAAAGTCTAATGTACGTTTTTACGTGTTCACCGTGATGTGATCTGTTACGATCCAGTATTGCCTTTAATGCTAGAACTACCGCACCCGTCGAAATGGCAGACTGCAGTTTCCTTATTTTCACACTTATTGATATCTTAGATATATTAGATATTCTTAATGATCTGAAAAATAGATAGTTTCACTTGAATAATATAATGAATACATGAAGAAATTGGAAAAAAAAATGTATTGTTACAATTTTTACATATTAAATATATTAAACGCTCGGTAAGTCTAGTGTCAACATATAATATAAACTAAAATCCATGGATTTATGTACCACATGCGATTGCTGTGGCGGCGTTCCTTTTCACGACAACGGTCTTTCTACCCAACCCAGACCTGTCAGTCATGGCCTCAGTGCCGCCTGGTCGAGCGGAATAAATGGATCTGGGGTCCGTTTACGCCGTGGTTGGCACTAGTGATGGGACCGACACGATACATACCAATGGTACTCGAACAATCTGACACCCAAGTATCCAAAGACCCGAAAACCTCGAGTATAGTGTACCAATTTTCAAGAAGTCTTCGAAACGGTAACCAATCAATACCAATTCTACGGTAGCACGCTAAGCATCTGTATCTACCATATTCACCAATAAAGTTGACTGAATCAAATGTTTCAAATGCGTCAATATAAATTTAGAGAATCATAAACATTTGTTGAGCATTTTTTCATTATTCAATGGTGTTGTATATGTTTGTAAACAATGAAAATTCATGCATTATCACGTACCATTGGTAGTAATTTGTATTATACTAGAATTTCATTTGTATACATTTCAAAGTATCATACACATAAACACATTGAGATCACATTTATGAAACTCATAAAATAATTGAAAACTCTGATTACATTGTTCATTATATTGATTTCTACTTTTTTACTATAATATTAATATAAATATTTATTTGAACGATCCAATGTTAATCATAACAATGCCAAATTGATACCGATATTTCAAAAAAGCGTCAAACGTTTATTCGTTTAAGGATTAATTGTATCGAAGAGACATTGATCAAACTTTTCTAATTATAATTTGAAAAATTTAAGATTGCATCAAAATCCGCAGTCCGATTATTATTATTCGTCGAATCGAAATTCGTGGACTGGTATCGATACCATCAATGGCGATGTCAGTCCCAACACTACGAACCCTGGGCGAATTGACGCCACTATCAACAGATCGGAAACTTACGTCCGGACTCCCTGTGCGCAGTTAACGATTTTTAAATTTTAATAAAAAAGTTCAAACTTCGATATTCTTCTCACCGTAAAATGATATTCAGTGCAGACGTCTATCTCTCCGTTTTCGAATTTACTTTTTCTCCGGCGAAGTACCGATCGTCATACAAGAAACACACGTGCAACATTGTGTCACGATCATCGATCGCCGAATTCCTTCACGCAGAGGCGTTAAAACGATCCCATAAGTATACTCATAATTACAAGAAAAAAAGAGAGAAGTAATCAATTGTAAAATCGATTCGTTCACCGCGATTTCTACCAGTAACACGTTCGCTACCTCCATTTTGTTTCAGCGACGATCTTCTCAGTGCAAACATTCCACTAAATCCAACAAATCTTCCAACTGTATAAAATATTGAAAAAATGAAACTAACAAGAATCTTTTAGTTCCTGAATGAACTGTACCGTATTGCTTCAAATAACGTGACCACGAATAACAACGGACGCGTCAAATACAAAAAAATCGCGTTCGCAGCAAATCGAAAGACACGCGTAATTCGATCGATGAAAAATCGACGCTCGAATATCGATTCCCCCGAAACCACTGGAGTTCCTATGGACCTCGTAATTACTGTTCCCTATAATCACTTCCTGTTAATCTCTCCCGCGCCTCCTTCATTAAACCGTACCTTGCAAGGATACTCGCGCGAACTTTCCGTTATAATTGAAGAACTTCTCCAGACCAATGCAACAATATACGGCCAGTCGCGTGGTAAATAATTAACACCGAAGCTCCCCGGTGAGCATTGCCAACGAAAATCCCGAATACTGGTGGAAAACTGGCTCTGACCTTGCGTGTCCTTTGTGCAGAATGGAGCTGCGTGCGTGCGACCATGCGAGCTTCCGGAGAATCTCAAACCTCGCGGTTCATCTCGATCCTTCAACTTCGTGCTTCCATCTTCCAGCGTTTCAGACGTCAGGCTTCGGTCAACGGTTCACGAAGACGAAGAACCGACGGAACAACGTGAGAAGGTCCGAAAGGGCGAAACCATCTTGCTCTGTTCCGGCAGCAACAAAGTTCTTCGATCAGCCAACTCAGACGTCACAAACGCGCCACGTACATCAGTATCTTTCCCCGATTAACCGAACCGAACTCGCGTCTCGATTACTTCTTCCCCGTGCTGCTTCTGAGCAAAACTTCGAAAACCAACCTCATCGGGAACTTAGCGACCGTTAGCATTCAGCGAGGATCCCGGTTCGCGTGCCGAACGAACGTTCGATCGCTTCGCTCGGTTTCGGCTCGGGGGATCCCATGATCGATCCTTACCAGCGATCCTGGCGCGGCTCGTGTGACGTCCGGCTCCCGCGTGATCCGATCGAGAACAGTTCCCGCCGTGTTTCGTTATCACTCACGCACCACATCACTCGGAAGCGACCAGTCATCTAAAAAGTCATGGGTCGGTTTCAAGTGGGAAAAGCGCGCGACTTCCGAGTTTGGGTCGCGTTTACAGGAGGAAGAAAAGAAGAAGAGTTGATTCGTTCCGCGTGCGGGTTCGACGGCGAGTCGGCCGACGGACATGCAGCGAGGATTCAAGTGAGCGCCGTGAGCGTGTAGCGACGCTGTGGCACCGTCGACAACCCCGTTCCGCGAGACGCTTGCGCGATGGCCGGCGCCCCGTGCGCCCCGTGCGCGGGGATGAATCGTTTTCGCCCGTGCCGGTCGTTGTTATCAATTCACCTAGTTTTCTCCATAATCGCGGGGAGCCCACCCGCGCGCGCCTCGCGACGCGACGCGTCGCGTCGGTTAGGCGTGTGAATTAACAATGAGTCACTCGATCGCGGCAACGACGCGCGAGCATTACAAAGTGATTCCGGCGTCGGCTGATCCCGCCTCGATAGGGGATGATCCCGGGCCGCCGCGCACTCGATCGGAGCGAGCGTAGTGGGCTAGATCGCGAGTCTGTTGGGGGAAAGTCTTTAACGTTTCAATGTATGAGGATAGGATGATTTCTTACCGATAATGAAACGTTTTTTGGGGAATTTAAGGAAGAAAGGACAACTGTTTTGTGTAGGGTTAGTTACTATGATTAAGGATTGTTGATTTACTATTTATTTCAATTAAATTTTTAGTATGCATGGTTTAGTATACATTTATTATTTTTCGAGGAATTTATTATATTTATTAGAAATCGCAGATTTATTGATCGAGTGTCTGTAATGTTTGGATGAATGAGGATAATTTTCTGGTAATAATGAAATGTTTGTATATTACAGTAAGAGTAAGTAAAACATTCCTACTGTGTAAAGTCAGTTGTAACATTTTCCGTAAATTTAATCGAACTCGATGTTGCTGAACCTATACGATACAAGAACGTTAATAGAGCAAACTCGCGGAAAATCTGTTTCGTTTCATTCAGAAAATTCCTTTGATTGTAGTATAAGTTGTACCATCCGAATTAACGTTGAAAGTATTAGTTTTCCGACTCATCTCCATTACAACTTCTTTCTACTGTTTAACGAGTATTATCTTAAGAAGACCCTGGCCCTTTTTCCTCAACACCCTGTAATACATTCTTTCGTTCATCCTGGGGAATCTCATTGTTTCTTCTCCTTAGGATTCTACTGGAGTCGCGTATTATGCTCCTTTATGTCCTCCCCTTTTGTTACTCAGGAAATCGTTTCATTTCATTTCGTTTCGTTTCCTTCTCGTGTAACGGGAAAATCCTCGTTCCGGCTTCCTGAAATTTTATCAACCCCCACGCAACGGTCAGGTTATCCGTTACCCTGGTATCTCGTCAATCGAATTGGATCAATGTTTTCAACCAATTAAAAGAGAAAATTGATCTGTGATTCGATTGCAATGTTTTCTCGGTGGAAGTAAATTGATTTGTATTTTCGTGTTTACAACGATGTTCGCGTTTTACAGGAAAATTAGATTTTTAGTCAGATTTTGTATCCTTTGTCATTATTTGTAATCATCATAATTACGATTAACACAATAGCGCATTTTATACAATATTTTCCGGGTTAGCAAGCTTCCTTGAAAAAGACGTTCCTTTTACTTTCTTAAAAACTGTAACTTAAGAATATAATTTATAACCGAAACGAGTTTCACATGATACAGCGAATACTTACATAACACTGGATTTGCGGAACGCGTCAATCTGGCACATATTGAATTTCATGAATATTTTGTAAACATTATACAACAATTTTACAAACATTATTTCACAAATGTTCACGTTGATTTTCATTGAATATGCATCCTGATTCTGTATTTTAAAACTTCTAATTCCCAAGATCCAAATGAACGTCAATTTTCGTATGAACAGTAAAAGAAACTGTGCAATGAAAGTCCATATAGCTAGTATTAATAGAAAAACGAAGAAGATGGAATTCATGATCAACTCCTAAGGGTGAATTCAGCATCGAGTACTATAAATGTTCGCTTATATAATTGAATCCCCCGTTACGTGCCCGCGCTAAGCTTCCAAAGAGTTCGGAACAGCTGGGCCGCCGGTTCGCACGAATTCACGTTTTCCTCTTATAATAGAGTCCAACTAATTGTACGAGTTTACACCATGGGGCGGCGTGATCGTGTCGATCGACGAACAGCTTTCGGAGATACACGACACGCCGCGAACTGTACAGCAGCAGCCAGTAGGTCAGCGCATGCAAAGCTCTATCGGTGATCCCAATCTTCTGCTTTGACGAGGATGTGTGATCAAGTACAGTCCAAAATTAACACCGTGCCACAGGATCGGCGAGCGAAGCAACGTGGCGTCACGAACAACACAGGAACCAGTTGATTTGCCCCTTTGCTGCGTGCGCTCCTAACGATTTGTCTTTTGAACTGGGTCAAAAAGATATTTAATCGAATCGATCCCATGTGCGCGCTGTTCTACACGCTCGTCGGCTATCTTCAAACGAGAATGGATAGTTTGTTTATACCGTTGTCGCCGAACAGTCAGCGACGTTTTCGGATTTCGAAATTCCGTTTTTCAATCGGAGAACAATGGAAACTGTATTATTTTCGAACGACAACAATGTACAATCAGATTGTTTGCTAGTTTTTCTAGGTACAGAGAAGACGATACAGAAAGGTGTTTTTAGTTGGCCAATTTTTAATTACTAGTTATAAAGCATATTTTTAGTGCCGTTTTAACGTACTTCGAGATTGAGACATATATCAAATAAAAAGGAACATTTTTACTAAGTATCTTAGTCGAAGATTCTTTTTTAAACTTGAATCGCTCTGAATTTTTGCCCGTACTTATAAATAGAAAGTAAGCCGATGACGATTGTAGAAACACTTTTTCAATTGTCAGCTGTTCGGAAGCTTTCGTTTGTACCGCAAGCACGTTGCAAAACGTTTCACAGAAGTCGCTTGTTCGAAAAAACCGGACCGTAAATTAGAGTACCTTTTCCGGCATTTGCGGGCTCGCGATGCGTCAATTGCCATTGAGAACAGTGCAGCTGGACCATTTTCCCGAGCAACTTAGCTGATATTTTCCAACCGAGCTAAAGTTTTTAAGCAACCATCTACAAACCAGAACAACGCTAACGATAATACCTGAAAGCTGATAGTCCTCTTTACCATTTCATCAACTAAGGACGTGTACATGCTGATTCCTAACAATTTAATAAACGTTGCTTCCTTTCGTGCATTGCTATTTACCCTTAAACGCTGTCATAGACAAAATTTCATTACACCCGAATTGTATTCCTTTTGTTGTTAAAAGAATAACTGATAATTTTACGTCTTTAGGTATTTGTTCGAATTATCCGTATACTCGTACTTTACTACAAATGTAAAGACAAAGTATTCATATATTTTCCTTTGATAACAACCTTTAGATATCAATAAACAATGCACATGTTGTAATTAATTTCTCTAGTTTCTTTAATTTAAATATATAATTTAATTTTTAATTGTCACAGACAGCTGGTTGGAATTTTAAACTTATTTTCCTTCAGAACTAAATTTCTAGCATTTTCATTTTTCACTTTTCAGGCAGAATAGCCTCCTATTCAGATGCACAGACCATCCTGTCTCGCTCTAGATATCTGTCACTATGAATATACGAAATCACTGATTGTTCTCAATCACTAGTTATTCTATGCACTTCACGTTGGTAATTGTACGAACAGTTTGTAGAATATTAATATATTTTATACTACAGACATTTTTCTCTCGTGGTTATTAAATATAAATGAATACAATAGCGCATTTATTCAAACGAAGGTACACTGATTTTTATATTGTTTCCAATAATATTTTAATAAATCAAACTTTTACATTTGAACGTGTGAAATCACCGATGAAAATTACTCACGGAATTTAATACCAAAGTATTCACAGAGTACTGAATATGCGTCACGCAAGCACTGACTCGTTCTACTGCGAACAGATTTCACTACTAACTTTATTTGACATCACCATTCCAACATTACATTATCATCTAGTTACTTACGCTATTAAACACTTTTATTCTACATTAATCATCTTATGAAGAACACAATTCAACATAGACAACAACACAATACGTTAGTATAGAACACGATATATAGAAATATAATTAAAAAACTCGCTACTGGCATTTGTTTCAGTGACGATCATCTCATTTGTAATATTCTATTCAATCCAACAAATATTCTAAATAAAATATTGAAAAAATGAAACTAAACCGAATCATTGAGCTCCTAAATATAACGTTGTATCTTATAACTTCGAATAATAATATCTATAGTGTTAATTTCATTTTCTTTGCGTGAAATATAGAATTAAAAACTGAACAGTCAAACGACCAATTCTAAAATTTAATTTAAAACTCTGCGTTCATTTAATTCATTTAACTTAATATCAATTCTTATATTGTCATTTAGACGATTAACTTGTTTACCTTTATTTTGAGGTCAGTAATTTAACTGATTACAGGAAAAATATGTACATGCAATCTGCCGGTACGTTTAGTGTTATTAATTTTACAAATAGCGGTACAAACGAGCTCGTCGAATTCGTACTTTCACGGTATCGCTGTGGCGGGGTAATCGGTTGCCAGAATCAAGTCCGTGATTCACGTTGGAACTGGAATCAGTACGAACCGCCTCGGGTTATTCGGTTAAAAGAAGCTTCTCGCTTCGAGACGTACTGAAAACTTCCACCCGTACAGTGTGAAGGAACTCAAGCACGTTTGAATAAAGGCGATATCAGAAAGATGTCTTCGGTGATGTTTTGAAAGTGGCGGGGAGGGCTGCTGGGTAAAGAAGCGGGTCTTCAGAGTGACCGGCGCGACGAGACGGCTGGAATGTATGAAGCAGGCTGGAGCGTCGAGGATGGTCAACGGCTGGACAATCACGTGAAAAGGGGAAAGAGGAAGAAAGCGTGAATGGCGGGGGATGCTCTCATCATCCTCCGCTAATATTTACACGCGCGTGTACAAAGACCAGCCTGGTCACCCAAAAGAACGCTCCCATGCGTGCTCTTCGCGATAAAGATGTGGGAAGCTACGAAAGACGCTGCAACTACCGCGCGTTACTGCGTTTAACACGTCCGCTACCACCATTTGTTTCGGTAACAGTCTTCTCAATCGCGATAATCTATTAACCCCTTCTCTTATAATATTAAGTCAGACTATTAACGAAGATTTTCAACCGAATTCCACAAATTCAAATGTTATTTATTCATTTTTCGTATGAACGAAATATCAGTTGTCTATTATCAATCTAACCTTTAGAGTAAATGTAGACACAGATAAGCATTAAATTCTTTTCTTTTTCTACTGAAATATTAAGGATCAAGTGGTTTTATCAAGTACTGTCGTGAAAGAAATCGTGGGACAAGGGAAATCTTCTAAATTATAGATTCGGGAAATAGTCTATACAAAACGTTGAAAAAATCAAACTATACTTTGTTTTATGAAAGAAGAGCATTTGGAGGTCGCTTCTGACCGTGTATTTCGGTGGGAAACCAATTATGACAGCAGAACAGTCGGAGTGCATCGAGCAATCCCTCCTTTCCAGTAAATGATTAATGCCAAAATAATTGTATCGATCGTGATTGAGAAACAAATAAAAGAACAAAGGTTTAATTCGTAAATACAAATAAGTCCCTCGCAGCAACCTCCTATCGAGGATCGTGCTGGGCTGATCAGCTGCGAAATTGTATGATCCATGTAAAAATATGCTGAACAATTATTCTTTAATTTAATTAACGCATTCAGAAAGAATCAAGAACTTTTTTCTTGATTCGCCCCCTTTGCTTCTTGACCCGATAATTGTTCGGCATATTGTATCCCCTCATTTCGTTCTTGTTGAATCAGAGACTACTTCTCTGATTCGTCTCATACTCGAATCAAGGACTCCTTCCTTGAGTCACCCCCTTTACCACTGCGATGATTGTATAGTTTATCCCCTTGGCATACTATTTACTTTCGCTACTAAGCTCGTGTAATATTTTACTATCAACAATATGGAAGAAATTCACCAAAATTTTCCGTTCTACATGAAGTGGAAATTTCATTTGAAGATAATAAATTGATAATAGCAAAATAGTTATTAGTTTTGATCCGTAAATAATGAACAACATTGATTGTTGTTAAATTGGTCTAGAAATCTTCATCGCGAGTCTCACTCGTCGTTGTACGGCAAGGGGTTAAGTTATTCGTTAAGTAAACTAAGTTAGAATTAAGCGTGCGAAAGAAGACATCGATCGTCCGCTGAGGGATACTTCATTTCAGGCTCAAGAAAGAAAACAGCCGCCGTGAGAGTATTACTAAGCGCGATAGTAATAAGTGCGTTGAACATAAGACTTAGAATTAGGAAGGGAGGTCGGTGGAATTCAATTTCTATCCACCTGCAGGGGTCTCCACTTTATATAATAAATATATTTATAAAAATATTTACGTTTGTGAATTAATAGAAACTGCATTGTTCCAAACTTTTATTGAATAAATAAGTAAGTTTTCTTTCACTCTTCGCGTAAAAGAGTCCGAATTCGTCAACGATTCGCCATCTACCATTCATTACATAAAAAGAGTCACTGAGTTATTAAACGCAACGTCATATCTACATTGCGGATCCTTATACAAATTCAAATTTTTTATCATTTGTAATCATAATTAGATTAATAGTAATAAGAATAATAATAATAGATTAATAATAATTATAAAAATCTAATTATATATAATACTTTGAATACTTTATATGTTTTTATGTGTACATGTATTTTGTATAATAAAAATTCGCAATCTAGTCATGTCTTATAACTTTAAACGATAATGTCCATAGTGTTAATTTCAGTTTCTTCATGTGAAATATACAATTGCAGTAGTCACAAATATCTGATGCGCCATATTTACGGAGAAGGATTAATGAGTTTCTCCCGCTGTGCTGTACTTTTGCTTTCTGTAGTGAGTACTAGTATATCCCCTCCATTATACACAACCTTGAACTTATGAGCACCATCTAATTCCAGGTGACCGTTGGTAGAATATAGTATCTTTCGAACATGCGACTCAAACAACGCGCTGTTATCGGGTTTTTGACTGCTACAAATGCTCCTGCCCTAGGCATTGATCGCCGTGTATAGGTTACATATCATGATAAATGCATTGATATGAATAGAGTCGGATAACAAATAACAATTCAAGCAGAGAGAAGTGAAAAAATGTTTCATGAAATAAATGACGAGACTTTCTAACGATATCTTATTGTTTCTTCTTTTTAATGTATACCACATTAATCTGGATACATTTTTCAAAAATGACAAAATTAAATTATTTATTCCCTCGTAAACATATATTCTTCCATTTTTCAGACTTAGTCTCTTTATTAACAAAATATTTCTTCTTTTCACATTCGAAACACGATACTCACATGCATTCTTCGAAATATGATTCCAAGCATAAAAGTTTAAGTCCAGTAGGTAACGTCGGAAACATTATATCAACACAGCTGTACAGTTGATAAGGAAGGGATACGCAGCTTAAGATACGTACAGACGTTGCAACTTGGTACCATTGTACCATTTCGGTGTCGCACTCGATATTACCGATAGTACAAGATTTTAGGCTTGTTAATAGAAATTGAATTAGCTATATACTTCATTTCTGCTACATGTGTTTTACCACAGACGAGGTATAAGATAGACATTGCAAGCTTATGGTGTCACATGTTCTAAATTACCGATTGTGTAAGAAATCGGAGATTTTGCTCTGCCCTCTATACCTAGAAAACGGTCAATAAAGAAACTACATCAGGCAAAATGATCGAAGCTGACCAGGTAGTAAATATGGTAAAACAATATAGGTACAAACGTATCCGTTACAATGTTGCCATGCTCAAAACTTCTAACACACGAAGCTACAGTCTGCTTTCACGGTAGCCAAAGCGACCAGAGGTTTACAAGTGCACAGCGGTAAGGAGACTCTTCCACTCACGATGTTCGTGCTTTCGACGCACGGTCATTATTGGCGTACGGTAACCACAAAGGACGGAAGCAAAATCGAATACGATTTTGGAATTATACAGAAATTTGTTTTCTATCGTATATATTTTCTGTCGTAAATAATGCCTCAGTTTCAAATATTTTTCATTCTTCTCATAGACTAGAGATACCTAACTTACTCCCCTCACGTTAGTAACTCGCAAGCTGCGTTTCCACACTGCTTACCACTACTCTTGGAGCTGCCTGAGTTATATATGAGAGCAGATCTATGTAGTGTTAAATACAAACAGATAAAAGCAGTATGGAGAGGGTAACTCTCCTTAAGGAGAAAGTCACTATGGAGCTCTTGATTTCCCAATTATACACTCCTATTATAAACATAGACTGCCTTCTTGAAAATAAATTTAAAACTCTAGCAATTCTAAATTAATTATTATTTGTCTTTGAACGCGACTAAACATGCTATGTATCTATGAATGTATTTATAAATTTAAAATTTATATATGAAGTATTTTTGAAATTCGTTTTTAATTGATGTAATAATATAATACTACACTATTTTAAAAGCACATTCATATGACACGGTAATAGAATAAAATTTGACACTTATATTTCACTAAATTACAATCCAATCCCAGACAACCATGTGCCAAGCAAAAAAATAAAATTCCCTAGAAGAGTTTATTAATCACCATCATGTTAGGTTTTTAAAATGCGTGTATACCAATAACTTTCTATGATACTATGCTACTTGTGTAAGATGGAAACGTTGTGATTATAGCTATAAAGGCAGGAGCGGGATTATTGTGAGTTGCTCGTTTAAGCGTTTGTTTGTAAGGATTACTGGTAGTCCGGTGTGTAGTCTGACATTTAATTTACAGCAATACTATTATTAATTATTGACATAACAGAAAATTCGTTATAAACTGTAAACATGTCTGACGAAAAGAAGGTAACGCTTTGTAACCTCAAAGCCGATACTGCAACGATGAATGATAATTGAAGAATGTACGTTTTTACAGGAAACTAAAACAGAATCGGAACACATAAATTTAAAAGTATTGGGACAAGACAGTGCAGTAGTTCAATTTAAAATTAAAAAGCACACACCACTCAGGAAATTAATGAATGCTTATTGTGATCGTGTGGTGAGTTTTATATGATTTATTATTATTCTCTGATATTAGGCAATTTGACATTGTACCATTTCATTCTTAATAAAAGTATCAAAAATATAACATTTCTTCTTTTATTCGCACATTCTTATTGCATGTGAAAAATAGAGATTAAAGTTCATGTGTTTTTATTACAATTAACTTATATTTTAACAGGGTTTAGCGATTGCAGCAGTAAGATTTAGATTTGATGGTCAACCCATAAATGAATTAGATACACCAACAACACTTGAAATGGAAGAAGGAGACACAATAGAAGTTTATCAGCAACAGACAGGAGGATTGTGTTGAGATTTAAGATTGTCCTTCAATAGTTTAAGTAAAAAGAAACTTCTGTTCCAGTGCTTACTTCGAAAAAGAAAACGTGAATTATTTTTTATCTTTCCTAATACAACAAACTACTTTGTTTTATAATATAATGTGAAAAAGTTGTTTACACTTTTTATATATATATATATAAAAATTATATATATATATATATATACCAAACCTAATATTAATATGCATTTTAAATCAGTTGTTCGCTTCATCTGAATAGTAATCTACATACATATATTCTTCTGTATCATCTCATATCATAAGATGATTTAAAAATTTTTTTATATTTTTCGCACTATATTATCATGCAGAGTGTTTGGTTATATTTTGCCTTTATCCAGTCACAAGATTGATAAATTCTAGAAACATTGTAAAACATTTTTTCTATTATGATTGATAATTTGATTGAAAATACTGAAATACAGGCTTACTGCTCTGTTATTGTTAGCGATACAACAGAAATTGAGACACATCACTTGTCTCTTGCATTTGCCCCACATAGAACAAAAAACATCTACATTATACAAATACATGTATATTACAAAATATGAAATTCTTTGTAAATGGTTTTCATGAATGGCTACAATGTAAAGTCTCATATTGACGTAATAAATTTCATCTTTTTTAGGTATTTTCATTTCTTACAACAGTGTATAGGTAGGAAAATGATAAAAAGCATTATTAATATTTAATAATGTAGCTATATCTAAAACATTCATAAAAATTTGTTTTACATTTTATAACTCAATCTTAGTATTAACATTACACTTACTTTTACCTTTCATAAAATTAATATTACTTTGTATATGAACAAAAATAAATTGTGTCTTATCTTTTCTACATGAAATTATTAGTTGTTATTACTGTAGATTTTCTTTGAATGTTAACGTAATATTATAAAGTACGTACTTAATATTAAATATTACATATTATCATAGTTTTAGATTTAATATACTAAATATTTATTAATAAATATTTTAAATATAATAAAAGATAAATTAATTTATTCCTTTCATTTGTTCATTTATGATCCTTAAGATATAGATGTAAAAATATATTACAAAATTGATCTCGTTTATTGTAAACAAACAACATAAAATATATTTTCTTTTATTATAGTTTAACAGTGGCGGTCATAATTATCCCTTTCCCTCCCTTTCACGTGGTACCAAATAGTCACTAGCCCAAATGGTGCCCTTTTCAACTCTTTCTAGTACTATAACATTTTGTGTCATAGAATATTGCAACATAGATGGCAATATTATTGTTCATAGTGTCCCTTGGGTAGGAGAAGTATCTATATAGGTAGGTACCATGGATAACTGTGTGTTTCGTGCACAGACATTAAACGTGGGTATAGTATCCTATCTATGTATTGTCATGTTCGAGAACATGGCAAATGGTTGAGGTTTACGTAAACAAAACGTTAACTTACTGTAACTTTGTAATTAACAGAGCTTTGTATATAATAATAGTAATTGTAAATATAAAGCATTTATAAATATGAGATACCGTAAATAAACATATATGTATGTGATATTTTGATATATTCGCTATTAAAGCTACGAAATTGATATGTATTGTCGATGGTGATCTACTGTGCATTCAGACAGGATAATTTTATTAAATAAATTACTGATATATTAATCCGTTTGACATTTTAATAATATAAAATGGCTAATTCCGAGGAAGAAAGTGATAAGGATTTAATGTCTGGAATCAATATGACTGGTTTCCTTTTTGGCAACATTGATGACAATGGCCAATTGGAAGATGATATTCTTGATCCAGAAGCTAAACAACATTTGGCTTCGCTTAGTCGTCTTGGCTTAAGCTCGTTAATTCGAGAAATGATGCCTAATGAAAATACCACCGATGAAAAGGATAATGAACAAGATGATAAACTTTTAGAGGAAACAGAAACTATAAACGAGAAGGATACAAATTATGTCGAAAAGTCACCCAGTGCTCTTGATTTCTCTGATATAAATGAATTAGCAGATGATCTAAATGAGGAAAATAGTAAGTATGATGATTATTTAATATGTTAAAGATTAAAAATTATTTATTTTATTTTATATAATATTTATATGATCAAATTATACGAATATACAATGTTAATTCATGAATTTATTGTCATGTATTACTTTTGTATCTAGATAAGCAAGATACATTTGAACGAAGAAGTGAAAAAGAAAATGATTATGATGCTGATGACGAAGAAGTTATTAACAAATCTGATACACAATTAATGCCTCCTCCTCCAGTACCAGAAGAAAAGGAAGCACTTACAGCAGAAGAGGCGGAAGCTGCACGGCAAAGGAAATTAGAAACACCTCTTGCATCTATGCTGCCATCAAAATATTCTAATGTTGATGTTGCTGAATTATTTCCTGACTTTCGTGCTAATAAAGTATTAAGATTTTCAAGACTATTTGGTCCAGGGAAGCCTAGCAGTCTTCCACAAATATGGAGGGGTGTTAAGAAACGGCGGAAAAAAAAACGTCATCACGATGTTAGAGACTCGGATTCTGGTTCTGATCAAGATGAGAAAAAACCAAAATTTAAGGTATATAACAAGCATACAGCATGTATTATAATTTAATTTGAAAATAATAGTAGGTTTACATTTTATTATAAAATTATTGTATTAGGGTTGGGTAATGAATTATGGTCCAGATCCAACTCCAGATGTGTGTTGTTCTGATGATGAAAATAAGTTACTGTTACCAGTAGAAGACAAAGAACAAACTGGTAAAACAGGTGAAACCGGAGAAAATGGAGATATGGGACCAAAAGTAGCAGATTGGCGGTTCGGACCTGCACAGCTTTGGTATGACATGCTTCAAGTGCCAGAAACTGGAGATGGTTTTAATTATGGATTTAAGCTGACAGACAAGGTACAGAATTACATATGCTAGAAATATTATATTAGATTATTCGAGAAGTTCAATTTATCATAGAAAGTGTTGTTATTGTGTTTCTAATAGACAGAGGAGCAGAATGATAAAGATAGAGATGAAGAATTTTCTGATGATGCATTTTTAATGGTGTCACAATTACATTGGGAAGATGATGTCATCTGGAATGGTGATGACATAAAACACAAAGTATGTAATATTATTTGGATACAAAGTATTGTGCTAAATCTTATGCGGGACCTTCTAACTAAGGACCTAAATCTATTCTAAGGTGTTACAGAAACTGAATAGTAAAAATAATGCAGCTGGCTGGGTACCATCTAGTGGAAATAGAACTGCTCAAGCATTTAGTCAACCAGGAAAAGGTGCACCAGTTCCAGTTGCTGCAAACGTTCGATTAGCTACTTCACAAATTACCACACCTTTACACATGCAGAGTCAGAAAAATAAAATGTAAGGAATAGAATTTAATTTTCGACACAGTTTGAAAGTACAATATTATTTACATCATTTATCATATTTACTTGCTTTATGAAATTTCAACAGGAATATAAATAAGGGAAATCAACAACAGACACGGGAAGAAAATTATGATGATACTTGGTATTCTATTTTTCCTGTAGAAAACGAAGAATTGGTATATGGACTTTGGGAAGAGGAAGTAATTTGGGATCCCGAAAACATGAGAAAGATACCAAAGCCTAAAATTCTTACGTTAGATCCAAACGACGAAAATATTGTTCTTGGTATTCCTGACGACATAGACCCTGCACTGCTTCATAAAGATAATGGCCCTCAACCAAAAGTAAAGATACCACATCCACATGTTAAAAAAAGCAAATTGTTACTTGGGAAAGCTGGAGTGATTAATGTCTTGGAAGAAGATACGCCGCCTCCACCGCCAAAATCACCAGACAGAGATCCATTCAATATTTCGAATGATACGTAAGTTTATATTAGAACACTAAATATTATTTTATATTATAAACAAAATCTGATAATTCCCTTGGTTTTTAGATATTATATGCCACGGTCATCAGAAACAACATTACGATTGAAGGTTGGAGGTGGAAACTTAATACAGCATAGTACACCTGTGGTAGAATTGCGTGTTCCATTTGTACAAACTCATATGGGACAAATGCGACTTCGAAACTTCCATAGACCACCTTTAAGAAGATTTAGTCATGGTCCACTTGCACATCCTGGACCTCATTCCGTTTTGCCTTTGGTGAAACACATCAAGAAGAAAGCTAAAGTGTGTATTGTTTATTACTTTCATGCATTTAAGATCTTTTTTTTCATTATTTGTTACATAAAAAAATGTGGCATATTTAATTTTTCTTGTAAACTAGCAAAGAGAGCAAGAAAGAATTGCATCTGGTGGAGGTGATGTCTTCTTTATGAGAACACCTGAAGATTTAAGTGGTAAAGATGGTGAAGTGGTACTCATTGAATTCTCTGAAGAACATCCACCTTTAATGAATCAAGTAGGCATGTGCTCTAAAGTGAAAAATTATTATAAAAGAAAGGCGGGTAAAGATCAAGGACCACAGAAGTATAAATATGGTGAAACTGCATATGCGCATACCAGTCCATTCCTTGGAATTTTAACACCTGGTCAAAGTATACAAGCAATTGAAAATAACATGTACAGAGCACCAATCTATGAACATAAAATTCCAGAGACAGATTTCTTAGTCATCAGAACAAGGTATTATAATTATACTTACATTTTGATTTTGCAATTATAATCTAATATAACGAATATTTTTATGCAGGCAACAATATTATATTAGAGAAGTGGATGCTTTATTTGTAGCTGGACAAGAATGCCCACTGTATGAAGTACCCGGTCCTAATTCTAAAAGAGCCAACAACTTCGTTAGGGATTTTTTACAAGTATTCATATACAGATTATTTTGGAAATCTCGAGATACTCCTCGACGTATTAGAATGGATGACATTAAAAAGGCATTTCCTTCGCATAGTGAAAGTAGTATTAGAAAACGCTTGAAACTATGCGCAGATTTCAAGAGAACCGGTATTTACATATACATTTCCATATATATACTTATCATAATAAATTGAAAACATATTATAACAAGTTGAAAGAATGTCTTAAATTCTTTTATATTAGGAATGGATTCCAATTGGTGGGTCATAAAGCCAGACTTTAGGTTACCAACAGAGGAAGAAATAAGAGCAATGGTATCTCCGGAACAGTGTTGCGCTTATTTCAGTATGATTGCCGCAGAACAAAGATTGAAAGATGCAGGTTATGGTGAAAAATTCTTGTTTACTCCACAAGATGATGATGATGAAGAAATGCAATTAAAAATGGATGATGAAGTAAAAGTTGCACCTTGGAATACAACTCGAGCATACATTCAGGCTATGAAAGGCAAGTGCTTGTTGCAACTAGCAGGACCAGCAGATCCAACAGGATGCGGTGAAGGATTTTCTTATGTCAGAGTACCAAATAAACCAACAATAAGCAAGGTAATTGCTACATGTTTAAAAAATTTCGTAATTCTGTTTTAAAGATCTGAAATATATTGTCTTTATTGTAATCGATATTTCTTTTGAAACATTAATTAGGAGGAACAAGAAGCGCAACCAAAGAGGACCGTTACTGGAACGGATGCAGATTTAAGGAGACTATCTTTAAATAACGCAAAAGCGTTACTTCGTAAATTTGGTGTTCCCGAAGAAGAAATTAAAAAGTTATCACGATGGGAAGTTATAGATGTGGTTAGAACGTTATCCACTGAAAAAGCCAAGGCTGGGGAAGAAGGTATGACTAAATTCTCACGAGGAAATCGATTTTCTATTGCCGAACATCAAGAAAGATATAAGGAGGAATGTCAAAGAATATTTGATTTACAAAATCGTGTACTATCATCAAATGAGGTGTTAAGTACAGACGAGGGTGAGAGCTCGGAAGAAGATAGTTCCGATATAGAAGAAATGGGTAAGAACATAGAAAACATGCTTTCTAATAAAAAAACTAGTACTCAGTTGTCTCTCGAACGAGAAGAGCAACAGCGACACGAGTTACGAAAAATGTTGATGGGCGAAGTTCAAGAACAAGACAAAAAGGGTAAGGAAAAGAAGAAAGATGATGAGGAAGATAGTCCTGTGAATAACTTCAATGCACAACAGGGTAGGGTTCTTAAGATTTATCGAACATTTAGAAATCCAGAAGGAAAAGAATTTACAAGGGTAGAACTGGTTAGAAAACCGGCAGTGATAGATACATATATAAAAATTAGGAACTCAAAGGATGAAGCATTTATCAAACAGTTCGCGACTCTAGACGAGGCGCAGAAAGAAGAAATGAAGAGAGAGAAAAGAAGAATTCAAGAACAATTACGTAGAATTAAACGGAATCAAGAAAGAGAACGGATGCTGGGTGGTTCTCTGACAGGAAATAACTTGTCATCAAATAACATATTCGACCGTAGTAATACCAATACCCCGACCACCACATCATCCAGCAGTATCCTTCCATTCTGTAACTCTTTCCAATCCACATCTCCTGCTTCTAAACATCCTAAACCTGAAATTTCTCCTTCCAAACGTAAGAAACCTAAACTTAAACCAGATCTTAAATTGAAATGCGGTGCTTGTGGTAATGTAGGTCATATGCGTACAAATAAAGCCTGTCCATTGTACCAGAACAGTATAACTACAGCACCGGTAAATGTTGCAATGACTGAAGAACAAGAAGAAGAAATTGAAAAGCAGCTTAACACAGATGACCAAGACCTTGTTAATGTAGATGGAACTAAAGTAAAATTGTCGTCTAAATTAATTAAGGTACCTTGTTTAATACATATAGTAATTCTAAACAGTGTTAATGGTATAGTATATTGTTCCATAATTTTACTTCATATAGCATGCTGAAGAAATGAAGAGACGCACATTATTATTAAAAGTACCTAAAGAAGCTGTAAACTCTAAGAAACGAAGAAGAACAACTGGAGATGATCACTGTGATTATCTTAAGCGACAACAAAGGCCTGCTAATAGACGTAGAACTGATCCTGTTGTTGTTATGTCTACAATGCTAGAAAGCATTCTAAATGAAATGCGAGATTTACCTGATGTTCAGCCTTTCTTGTTTCCTGTTAATGCTAAAGTACAATTTATTTCTAATAGAATCAATTTCATACTATTTTTTAAAAATTATACTTTTAATATATATTCTCAAACTTTATTAGGCTGTTCCTGATTACTATAAGATTATTCAAAGACCTATGGATTTACAAACTATACGTGAAAATTTAAGGTTGAAAAAGTATCAAAGTCGAGAAGAGTTTTTGGCCGATGTCAATCAAATCGTAGAAAACTCAACATTGTATAATGGAGCAAAAAGTTCATTAACTGTGGCTGCTAAACGTATGTTGGAAACTTGTGTAGAAAGACTTGGCGAAAAAGAGGATCGTCTAATGAGATTAGAGAAAGCTATTAATCCCCTTCTTGATGACAATGATCAAGTTGCTTTAACGTTTATTTTGGATAATGTTGTTAATAATAAACTGAAATCTATGACAGAAGCTTGGCCATTCTTGAAACCGGTAAATAAAAAGTTGGTAAAGGATTATTATACTGTAATAAAAAGACCCATGGATTTAGAAACTATATCGAAAAAAGTGTCTGGTAAGTTTGTTTACATTATTAACAAAAATATAGCAGCATTAACTTTATTATACATAGGATATTGATTAAATTATTTTGATTTAGCACACAAATATCATAATCGACATGAGTTTCTCAGAGATATTGAACAGATCTTGGAAAATTGTACAATATATAATGGAAAAGAGTCTGTGTATACAAATAAAGCTGAGATGCTTGTAAAAGTTTGTAAAGAAACTTTAGATGAGGTAGATAAACAGATATTCACTTGCATGATTACTATACTTTATTTAAATTGTACGTCATAATCATTATTAATTTATATTTTTCAGTACGATGAACACTTGACACAATTAGAAAATAATATATTATTAGTTCAAAAACGTGCAATGGAACAAGCAGACATAGATCCTTCTTGGCTTGGTGCCGACGAAGAGAATTATACTATTGTGGAGCCGGAATTCAGAGGGGTACTTCTGTATTCGATCAAATTTGCAAATTCATCTTATTACTGTATTAATTAAATTAATTGATTGTTATCTTTTATAGAGTCAAACAAGTTCTCCAGAGAATCCGTTTGGAAAATCGAATATAGAGGACTTCGATTTTGTAGATGTAGAAGGAGATTTAGAAGGTGATGGTAGCAGAAGTGTAAATTCCAAGAAAAAAGATGTTCTCGAAGAGGGTAACGCAAACATTAGGATTTAATTATTGAATTTATACACTATTTTTGCTTCAAAATATGACACAATTGTTTTATTTTAGATTTGCAATTCTCCAGTGAAGATGAATTCGATGAAGTTCCATTTGGTACAGATGAACAATCTGAACATGCGGAAATGGAAACGCTTGAACTGAATGAAGTACGCGAAGGCGGAGTAGTACTAGCAGACGATGATAGTCAACAAGCGGCGGAAGCAATGGTACAATTGGGTAATGTCGGTTTTTATATGGCGGACCAACAATTGCTTCAACAAGGTAGGTAATATAAGAAATAAAATATTAAATTAATTAAATTTACAAATCATATTTTCCTTAATCACAGATGAAAGCATGGATGTCGATCCAAATTACGACCCTTCGGACTTCTTACTGGCTGGTTTACCAGCTAGAGATGAAAAAAGTGAAAATAAAATTCAAGATGATCTGGCTGTATCAGAAAGTGATGATGAGGCAGAAAACAGTACACAGCAAAAACAAAAAACACAACAATTGTCACAACCAGAAGAAGACGTAGGTGGTGACTTGTGGTTCTAAGGAGGTTGTTATTCGTTTTAAGCAATAATCTTGTTACTTTATTTCTAAAATCAAAAGATTTATATATATACATATATATATATAAATATTACAAAATGTAATGAAAAAAGATATATTTATTTCTCATAAGGATAATTGAATTTCAATATTTGAAATTATGTGATGTATGATTTTATTTTGTAAAAAATAGGAAAATAATGTAGGTTTTTCAATGCATATCTGTAAATGTTATGGATACACACATGTAAATACATAATGAAGATTTTTTTTAAGTTCTATGTGTACATTCATGTAATTTGTTTCTTTTATCAAAGGTAAACAGGTATGAAGATTATAAAAACAAAATAACCACATAATGTAGATAAATGTATTTTTTTATATATTGAAAACGCATCAAAACTGCATATTCAGTTATGTTTATTGAAGAACATGTTTTTAACCAAAATTATGTTTGTAACGTTTCATATTATTTAAATGTAATATCATTTCGTAATGATTACAAGTCAAGAGTTAAAGAGTAAAATAGATTACATACATAAAGCATGTTCAATTATGACTAAAAACTCATTACGAGATCAGGATAAAATACTAAACCACGTATCAAGTATAGCAAAAAGTGCATTACAAGAACAACTATTGAATTATGAACCAAACAACATAATTATATGTACTCTTAAACTTTTTTTATATTATGAAACATTATACAACACTGATAACATATGCGAATGGAAACGACGACGAAAACGTCGACTCGCTAAAGAATGTTACAACACTTTGTTACAAATATATATTCCTCAAAAGCCAAAGGAAATTTTACAAGCGGTAATCAATACAATTTATGAAGACAAACTTTGGGAGTTTGAAACTCTATGTTTCAAAATATTATGTAATTTATTAGAAAATGGTGTTAGCGGAGTATTAATGTTTCATACAATATGGGACAAAATTGAAGACCCAAACATTAATATGGAAGATACAAGAAGAATTATAAGAATATTGTATGAACTATTAGATGTATATGATTGGCCAGATACTTATGATACAATATTAGTCATTGAAAGAATTCTAAACCTTTTTTACATAAGTGTAACGGCAACAAAATCAACTAGTCATATTATGTCATATGGAATGATTAAGAAAGGCTTAGAAGTTTGCATTATAAATATGGTCAAACATCTATACAATGATCATCTTCTGGTCATAGTGCAGTATATGTGTTCATGGGCTGTCGAAACAGGAATGACTGATGACATTATCTTGGAATTTGGTAGCACGCTTGAATATACAGCTTATATGCATGAAGTTATATTATACGAAAAGACTTTAACACCAAAAGTGTTTCCATTGCTCATGGAAATGATAGCATCAAAAAGTAAAATAACAAGTTTATTAGGTAATAGAGTAATGCAATATTTACTTGATAGAAAAGAAAATAAAATGAATTTTGATACACCTAAAATATTTTTTGAGAACACTCAATTTGATTTGACAATAGGAGAGTGTCTTAAAGAAGATAAACTGTTTTGTAAGCTTCATAGGGAAATTCTACATGATAGTCTTTTAAAAAGTCTTGTAAATCATTGCACATCACGTATGAATTTAGAAACAACGTATTGCACTATTTGTTTGGTTGCAATAGAAGTTCCGTGTGGTTTTACAGCAGCAGCTATAGTCTGCCTCATAATGAATTTGCAAGACATAACTCTGAAACAACAAAAAGATCAACTTGAAATATCTTATCACTTACATGCCACAATAATAGCAATTATGTCTCTTTTATGTTGGATTCATAAAGCCAAAGTATTTTATGAATATGTAAACAAAGTTATGCTGGAAAGAGCACAATGGGCTCCACATTTGAATCCACCTATTCAATCTCAATATAATTTTGCGGCACATCATATTCTTTGGGATAAGCCAGACTTGTTTTTTGTAGATTGGGAAGCTCGTTATGGTCTATGGAAATGTTTCCGATTACGTGAAGTCGATGACGATGAAAATGAAATATAAATATATTTTAAATATAATCAGATGACAGTTTCTGATCATTAATAAATAAACTGCACTATTAAGTAATATTAATATTCTTATTATACTAGATTAAAATCTCTGTTTGCTTCGACATTTTATTTTAAAATAATAAAATATGGTTCTAAACAATAGTAGATGAAATTTAATTTAATGTTATTACCAGTTTTTATTTTCTTGCTCAAAATGTATCTTTATAATTGATATACATATCATAATACATAAATAAATTACTTTCATCGACAAGATGGCTGTTCCAATATTTATTATGTACTATGTTGCATAATTTGATATACTAAACAAAAATTATCAATAATATTAACATTTAAGTATGAAAAATATAATTTTTTACACTGTAATTTTCTATAAAAAATTATGCGGGTAAAATTAAAATTCGGATACAAATAAATGGCGCGACAATTATCCATATCTCGAATAATTCATATGTTCGTCCATCTTAGACCGCTCTAAACACTTTTTGATTCGTGAAATATTTGTTTTGTAAACTATAAATTGTAATTTTAGATTTTGTCATGAACTGTTTAAAATTAGGTGAAATGATTCTTTATACTTATTTAAAAATCGAAAAGAAGATTGTGACAATGAAATTAAAGTGATTTTTGTAGTATATGCAACTTGTAATTATTAAAATCGTATTGTTTACATAACGAACGAGTTGAAGCGTTCGGTGGATTGTTTTCCTCTTATCGTGAAATTGCGCTTTAATAAAGGTTAACTTTTTAAATGATTTATAATGTTTATTGCTTTTATTTTACATAGTATTAATACATTTTTTTATGATGACTGTAATTTCCACAGTTTTAATATAACACAGTTTTTATATAATACTTAATTCTATGGTAAATATTAGTGACTAATTATAATGCATGAATAGTAAGAAAGCTTCACTAACATAAATAGTACCTTGATGTAGTATATTAATAACAGTACAATCATTTGCTAAATAATTTTATAGAAATAATGTCTGGAGAACAGTTTTCATTGGTTTGGAATAGTTTTCCAAGAAATTTATCATCTGGATTATATACGTTATTAAATGATGAGCAGCTAGTTGATGTAACATTAGCTGCAGAAGGTCAAATATTACGTGCACATAAGTTAATATTATCAGTTTGTAGTACATACTTCAGAGAACTTTTTAAGGTATATTTCAATATATTTTATTTTTATGTTCTTAGTTTCAAAACATTAAAATTGTTCTATCAATGTAGGGCAACTCCTGTAAACATCCAATTGTAATTTTAAAAGATGTCAATTATCGTGATTTATCAGCAATGCTTCACTTTATGTATCAAGGCGAAGTAAACATTAAGCAAGAAGACATAGCAAGTTTTCTAAAAGTAGCGGAGACTTTACAGATAAAAGGGTTAACTACAGAATCTGAAGAGGTATGTTAGCGAAGATCCAACATTTAAATGTATAGCGCCAGGAACTGTTTTTTATATTTTTAGAAGTTAGGGGAGAGTCTTTCAGAAGATGCAGAACAATTGGATCACTTGTTTAATATGGACAAGAAGAGTATTAATTTTGATGTATCGGATTTAAATGCATCTGCTTTTGAGAAACCAAAAGAAACAGTGGAAGTGGATCTACAATCTGAAACTCAAGATACTTCATCGAGCGGAGAACATCATAATAAAGAATTTATACAAAAAACTGCAACAGCCAGTGATACATATTATCATCAAGATTCTACTTCTGACTTAGTTTATAATATGCAAAATATAAATATACCGCAAAATAATAATTGTAAAAGTATAGAGGTACAAAGTAATGAAGAGGAACCATTAGATTGTACAGCTGATACTGGTTATACAGAATCACCTAAACAAGAACCACTAGATTATACACTTGATATTGAACCAGAAACAGTATATACAACATATTCCAAAGAACCATTTTATAAACCTGAAGAAAATTTACATAGGAAAGGTATATAAAAAATTTGATATCAAAAATTTGATTCATTGAATTATTATTATGTTTATAGTATTTGTTACCACTGTTACCTGTACTAATAATGATTAAAATCAAAGAAAATTAAAATAAATATGTTTTTTTACAGATTGTATGCCAGATATGCAATTAGTTTCTTATGATCAGAATACGCAAACTCAATCAGTTGGTACGTTTAAATAACTAAATATATTAAGTTATTATTATGCTTAATTATTCTTTATATGATGTTGCTCAATTGTTATTTAATCATTTCTCACTATTTTGGCTCAATATGTATAATAATATTTTGCATTCATAAATATAAAAAATAATCTAAAGTGTACATTTTTCGTAAGAAATATTCATTGAATTACTTCGTGGGTAATGTAAAATAAGATAAGATTTTACTTTATTTACATTTTTTCTTCAATTAGGTCTAACTAACATGTCTGGTCTTCAAAATGAGTTCACATACGAATCAGGCTGTCATGGTAAAGGTCGACGAACAGTGAAAGGTATTTCCAATAATACTCTACCTTTAGAAACAACATTGCGTGTTGTATCCGAGCTGGGACCAACGTTGCGCATGGATAGGGGAAAAGTGATTCGAATGTATTCGTGTCCATGGTGTCTTCGTCACTTCACCCGTAAGGAAAATCTTAAACTACATGTCCGTTATATCCACGGACCTCTTGAAAGTCTGACGTGTAAGCTTTGTGGTAATAAATACAAGAACAGCAACAGCCTACGTGTACATTCGTATCTTTATCATAATGCTAAACGAGACAAACCTAATAAGCCACTCGAGTATAGTGGAGTATGAAAATGAAACGCAAAAATAACAATGACGACGTTTTACTGTGTTATAAAAATATAACATAAAAACATAACATTAAATACAAAAAATTGCGATTTGGCGTAATGCTATATTATGGGCACAGTTTTATTTATAATCGAGTGTTCTGACTACTGTGCATTAGCGACGAGAAAGATTTCTAAAACTATTTAACACTCTTTATTTACAGAATGTTTAATTAAAGGATTCTGTGAATTTAGAGAAGCGTATTATCCATTTTATTACTTAGATTATACCTCTTGACCACTAGAAATTATGAACAATGACATATTTTATATATACCAAGTTACTTTTTTTGTAAGACATCGAGTGTAAATATATACATGTATATTGGTACAGAATTTTGTAAATATACATTTTTAATAAAATATAACGATCAACCGAAATTAATTTCTGTGTTTCTTTATACAACAATTGGTTATTGATACACTTTTTCCAAACGCTAAAAGAGCCTGTTTTTAACTTTTTACTATACCGCATAAAAAAATATACAAATTACAATAATTTCGCAATGGAACGTGACATTTAAACGAACACTGTTACATCGATATGTCCCAGAAGCTACGTTATCACCAGTTCTTTTTCTTCTGTCGAACGGGGGTGGAGAGATGTCTAACAGAGCCGTAGTTGTAACAACTTTCTTTAGGTCGTTGTTGTTTATTATTAATACGGCCAGTCACAAAAATATTCGATCACCAATGTAATTCATACCCTGGATTTCAAACAAATGTATAATAACAAAGAAAACTTAACAACGTATTACATTTATTTGTGAATAACAGAAATGCAACAGTCTTACTCTATTTCACAGGATTATTTCATTCAAATCATATAAAATAAGTAAACAAGTAAAAACGTTTTTTAAACCTTCCATTTCTAAACCATATAGAATAAACAAAAAACTTAAAATGCTTACTGCAATATAAGTCATATTATACATATTCCATTTTTCAGACACTGACAAATTGAATAACTTTCGCATCATGCAACACTGTATTGAAAGATATATGCATACGCACATTTCTACGTGAATAAAACTGAATCATCGCAAACAACCGCTTTTAAGTAGTGTATCCTACAAACTCTGCATGCATCATCTTCTCACAGATTCGCTCGATCGAAAACTCCCCGATAACACCGAATCCGGATCGTCGCGTTTTATCAACCAAAACCACGGAACTTCCTTTCGCCAAAAAGGAAAGAAAAGAAGAAAAATAATGACGATGCGACGTTCTCGGGAGATTCGCTTTCCTTCTCGTCGCAATTTGTTAATCTGGACCAAAGGCCGGCGGAGATCCAGCGATTATCTGTGGCGGTCGCCTATAATTAAACCGCAATTCAATCGGGTAAGTTGGTAGTCGATAAATCAGCTCGGCTCGATTCCCTGGCGAATCTCGCGAATCCCGGATAATTCATTTGCTAGTGAGGGACGGGCGGGAAAAAGAGGGCACGGCCAAGAGGAGGACAGTGCCATCGACGGCAGCGTCTGGCTGGCGTTCTCCAAAGGGTCGGGAGGTCAGCTCATCGAACATAATCGGCCAGTGCGCCGATCAGTAGTAGCCGCGGATTCTCCAAAACGTAACGGCGATTTCTATTGAATTTCGGTCAGTCATCCAGGAAACTGTAACAGTGATCGATCCGTTTCCGGTGAATGCAACTTTGTTCAGGAGAACAGTGTTGGGTGAACACAAGGGTGAAAAAGACCACTGGGGATCATGATCGCGTTCAACTTCGTGGATATCCTCGGTATCTCGCTCCTGTTCCATCTGACCATCAGTTTGTTACTGTTGGTCCTACTGGTACCGGTCTTTCTTCTTGTTTATCCGGGTAATTATCGTCGATGACCGTTCCGCGGATAGTTAGATGATAATGGTGCGATGACATGCTCGCGATCGGAGATGAAAACATTCCTTTATTGTTCCGTTTGAATAATACAGAGTTAAGCATACACTTTTCTTCTTTTTTTTCGTTTGAAATGGAACATTGTTTTTGCACGTTGAAACTTGTATGTTTATTAAATTGGGAATAAGATACCGGTTTCTTTTCTTTAGCTTTTTATTCGAAGTTTTTGATTTAAATTGCTATTTTGCTGGTTTCTAGACTATTAAGTGTGACCTCTCTGGCTCGTTCGCGTTTGTTTCGTATGTGCGACAGAATGTCGAGTATATAAATCAAACTGACGATGTGGCGTTGGAGTAATTAAATAATTGTGCTGTCAATCGTTATTTGATATAATATTGATATGAATTTCATTTACATGTATTTTTCTGCTCCATATCCACATCAAGTTTTATATAAACAGTAGAATTTATATTTAATTGTATTCAATTTTATCAAATTACTTCGTTATCGATCTGTAATTTCATCATTTTTCTATACTTCTTTTCGCATATCACAATTCGCTTTTCGAATTGTTCAAAATCTACGAGTAAGGTAAAACTAATCAGATAATATAATTGAAACAAATAATTACACTCACGTAATTGTCATAAACAATAGCATTTATGTCGAAGTTTAACAGTGATGCGTAATGAAATTTTGTGGCGTTCGATTGTCGTTATCGTTATTGTGTAACCTTTTTCCTTTTCTCTTCTGATACTGGCTTTGTCTGCTATTGTATCAAGTTGAATTTGCCGTATTTGTGTTTGTGTGGTCGTTGTTAGCTATTAGCGGATATAAAGTGTAAATGTATGTAGTTAGGGTTGATAAACTTTCTGAGTAGCAGTTTATTACTAAAATTAATTTTTATTGTTATTTATATTACGGTACAATGTTGCTTCATTGCTAAGAAGTTGCTTCTTCGGTAGACCTAGTGCACGTGGTGTCTGGATGTTCAGTTTTGAACTTTTATACTAAAATTCACGTCGAATGATAAGAAGTGACTTGTATAACATCGACCGGTTTGTATGTATAGTTATGTCTGGTTCAGATAACAAAATATTATGGAATTTTTGTAAACACAAAAAGACAGATAATAGAGGAAAAGAATTTGTGTCTTCCAAGTTCATGATTCAATGTTAAATGTGCAAGGTAATTCACCTAAATTGCCGGCTCAAAATTATTCGACAGCTATTAGCTCTGTAGAAAAAGTCTATCTAACAATCTTCGTTACTTTCTGGTTTTTTATATTCCTCAACAATATGAAATTTATTAGAATTTTCTAGTTATTTTATATTTATTAGAATCCTTGTAACAAAAAAATTTACGAATAAATTTGTTTGAGATGTCTAGTTTCAAACTTTGTAGACCATAAACATCTAAAATAATAATTAATGCGAACTAATAATTTCTCTTTCCCTGTAATTATTTAATTACTTTTAATTTCAACACATTTTATCGAAGGCGTACACAATACATCGATGACTGCATTAACTAATCGAAATAACTTTGGAATCCAGTAACTTCATTTTACACTGTATTTTAAAATTACTGCAAACTTTCATGCTAATCTGATATAAAGAAAAAACAATAAACCTCGTAGATTTTAATTTTAATTTTTTTCGTGTTCTGTGTTTTTTTTAATGAAGTCATGACATGGTCGAAGCAGGCCTGGATACGTTTCGTGAAATGGAAATATCCGAACGTCGTCGTTGTGGAGGAGAACAGCATTCGAACGATTTTGGACCAGTTTCGTAATCACGTAGGTTTAAACGATCGTTGGATGACCGATTGTCGGTGTTAACGTTCTGATGTTTTGTAACTCGTGGGCTTGTCGCAAATTTAGGGCATTTATACTTTGCTGATTCAAGGCCGTTCAATCGCGGAAGGTATTCGAGGGCATTTAATGCACTTGACATCGTCCAAGAGATTCCTGCGCGCTGGCTTGTCGACGAGATGGGGTCTTTATGTGTGGAAGGATATTGATGGTTTTTCGGTGGACAATCATCTGTTGAATTCACCATGTTCTTTCCGAGGTCGCCCGATTACGGAATCAAATATTCAGGTTGGTTGAAGAAAATCTTTAATTTCAGTCTGTCTCAGTATTCAAAAAGCTAACTTTAAATAAATTTCTTACAAACCTTATTATTTAGTTTGTTGTAAATCAACCACTAAATCTATTTCTGAAGATGACTAAGAAAAAGAATAAGTTTTAATAGAATTCAATTTGTAATATTTTTAGAATCAAAGTAAGTTTGTACTCTAATTAATAGTAATTATATCGATGAATTTCAGGAGTACGTCAGCGATCTTACGTCGAAATTCTTTCCATCTGGGCAACCGCCATGGCAAGTGCACGTGATAAATTGTTTCATTCGCGGCGAAGAGTGTCAAGTCTGTCTAATAAGGGCTCATCATCTGCTTCTACGTCAAGAACATCTAATTTTGGCGGACTTTCTACCATTAAAATATTCCGCCGAAAATTGGACTTGCCAGGAGGCCGAATCACCTTTTATGAATCTTTACGCTCAACCATCAGCACTACCGAAGCTATATCAAAAGCTGACGGAAAGCTTTACCAATTACTGGAACGAGTTTCTATATAACAATGACCCGAACGAGCGGCCAGAGATTCTGAAAAAGCAGATCGGTATATTTCAGTGTACAAAAATTGGCATAATAGTACTGGTTTGCTCGCTGAAGGAGGCGATAAGGTATAGAATAAAAATTTTGATTGGGAAAAGTCATTAACGGATTAGTTCATTTTTCCTTCACATGATTTATCACAAATGCAACGTCTTCAACCTAGCATAGAATGAAAACAGCTTTAATGAAGTATTAAACAGTAAAACAGTGAAACCAATTTTCATATCTCATAAATTCTCGTCAAGTTTTAAAGAGAATTTGCGAAAATAAGATAGCGACAACATAAAACTGACTTATTTGTATCAATGGATATTATTCATACGTATTAGATAAGGCCAAGACACACTAAAAGGTGCAGTAGTGCATATTGAGGTACAAACACTTCGTACATTTTGTTTAGTCATCCATAACTCAAAGACTAAGATATATGGAGCATATGAAGTTTTTAAACAAATAAGCTAAATTATTTAATCTATTGGCATAAATAATATTTTTGATTTGCTAGTATCTCAATACGAAGAAAAGGATATAGACATAGTAATTACACGTATACAGGTGTTTAAACGCAAGAAACTATTTAATCAAAATAGTAACTTTCAAACGATAATATATTAAATCCTTTTCGTGAATTCAAATATGGAAAATAGATATTAATTCTCTTAATATCAATAGCATCAAACATTCTTGAAACATTAACAATTTCTTCTTTATCTTAGGCGGTACCAGAAAGGGGAAATGTCCGGGGTATTTAATATCCTATCCACCCTCCAAAAGGAAGCATCCAAAAGGAACTTCGGGTTTAAAGTGATCTTCCGTGCGCTACTGAAGTCCATGAACCCCGTGAATGCTTTCTTCGACGCTATCCTTTGGTTCTGGTATTTGACAGTGATAATAACCCTGAAGACACCTATACTGTTTGTAACGGAACTAAAAGCTCTAAGATCTCGCCATAAACACCATTATCCAGACACGCTAACCGCTATGCTGTGGTATTATCTTCCGTTAATGTTGCAAGCTGCTATGGAAGTGCTTTCTATATTTTGGATAACGATCAAAGCTCCGAAAATGATTTTGGAAGAATTATTTCTAAAACATCCGCAAACCAATCGCTTACAGACCACGTCTCCTTGCGGAAGAAAGGTGGTAGCCTGGTCGGACGAAGTGGAACTGGAAGTTCTCAGGAAAATTTCGAATATAACGGGTGCTACCGAGGCTGAAATTCTGTTGACTGCTACCGTGGATGCTCTTAAGGAGTATTTTCGGCACTCCAACGTCCGGATACCGGACGATGTTCTCGCTACTGGAAAGTTTGTCAGGCAACGAGCGATATTTGTGCAGAATCACGAAGCTAAAGGAATCTTGTGTCTCGCGTTGCCTACGAGGACACCGTTGCTCGAGGATGATTTGGTTGAAATTTTACAGGTTTGTAGACATTGGTGTCCACTTATTGATAAAAGTGAACATTTCCACTTTTACTTTAACAATTAATAACAACAACAACAACAATAACAATTTTTGAATAATTTTTCTAGTTAGTTATTTTTAAAAATATTATTTTCCAATAATTTAATTTAAATTTAATTGTAAAATATATTTTCTTAGGTCATCCGGAAGAATGTGCGAGAGGCAAGAGCGAAACAGCGAGCAATATATGCCATTACTGCGGCGGAAGCGTCTAACGGGCTTATTTCCTCTTGCTTACCTTCTCTTTTGCTAAAAGTAATGCTAAACCAGTTGACCAGAAGGTATTCTCTGTCTTTGACACACGTGGACGGAGATTTACATGTGGAAGGTGTCGAGACTGTAATGTATTGGAGACCACCTCAAGGCAACTGCAGTAAGTATAGTCACAACTTGATTAATAATCTCATAAATTTGTTGATATGACATTACATTAATCCACGTAGAATTTGCAGCATACTCGACAAACAATGTACAAATCATAAACTATTGAAGTTTTCGAAAATACAGCATTTTTTCATTTTTATCTGTGTCTATGCATGTTTCACTTTGATGAATTTTTGCTTACAGCTATTCTGAAACTAAGATGATACTCTTTTTAGATATTTGATAAGACTTTCAATAGTTGTAGGTATATATAATTATGCAATTTAATAATAGGCTGATATTAATCATTTTTAGATATGTCCATTACTCTACATAGGTATGGGACAGCAATACGCATGGGTGTGATGGGTGATGCGTTGATTGGACCTGAGCATTCTATAATCACTAGGACTTTCCCGAAAAGCGTGGAGAACCTTGCAGACGTGGTCGGCGTTCCCAGGCCTCCAAGTCGCAATTCGTCTCCTAGCCCAGCTAGTCCTAACATTTCGTTTAGACACTAGAAGTAAAGAACTTTTTTGAAAAATAATTTCTACTAATTTCGGGGAAGAAATTTGTCCTCAAACGGGAAATACAATCGATAATAAAAATATGTAATTTAAAATTCTTTTTTAATTTCCGAAAATCAAAGGAAGTAGAGAAAAATATAGAATGTTACTTAATTTTTAAAAAGATTGGTTTGTAATATTAATAACAGACGGAAGTTACAGCTATAATGTCACTTGTTACGAGTTGTCGATATAATAATTGTGTTATTATAACTACAAGGAGCATGTAGGTAAATACATGCATCTATGCAGCGATTAAAGGTTATAGAAAATAGCCACTGAACTATGCAGGTAGTCGTATATTGTATGTATATATTTATATAAATATACACGTTCGCATGTATATATACAGACATTTTAACAATTTCTTTTTCTCGCAACAATGCGCAACGTAATACAAAGTTTGGGCAATTGACAGAGTGTTCTATTGTTCGTTAAGCTTGTTAACATTTTCGACACTGCAGGTCAAGGATTATATCGCAACTGTATAACTATAATTGATTATCATTTCATGTTCATTGTTTTTATTCGATTTTTTCGAATATATTTGCCCATCGACATTCAAAGCTTTTAATTCCGTAGTAACATTATTGGACAATAGGAAAGAATATTAAATTTTGTCGCGAAAAATGGAAACACCCTCTTTCGTCGAATGTAATTCGAATATCGATTCAACGTTCCTATGAAAGATTTAACGCTATTAACGTAATGTGACAATTTGATTGCCATCGTTGACTAGTTTATATTTGGAAGCATGTTTATATACCCTTCGTTATAATAATGAAACTAATTTCACATGTACATAAATATTGTTCGTATAATACGATCATTTATACATATACATATATTTTTAATAAAATAGTGTATGCGAGAGTATATTCTTTTAGTGACGCTCACTCACTTACATTCAAGATAGTTGAGTTTTTGTCAGCAACCATTTTACAACTTAACCACGGAAGTGGAATTCAGAAATTGGGGTTTAATTTCAGTAAATACGATTTTTTACGGTCATTGGCAATTTTTGGAAAATTAACAGATATAAAGAAATTTCGTGGAGCTCGCGATCTTTACTCAAGTAAATGAATAAAAGAAAAAAAATTATAACATAACAGTGGTATCATTTTTTACCTTAAATAAAAAACACTTTTCTCAGATGAAAATTAGTTTTTCACTGATACGAGCAGGATAAATCTAGGCTAAACTTGTGTGCCATTTTGTAAAATGGTCTGTACATTCTTAGAAAATATGTTTTTATTAAACGTTAAATGTTATGAAAATATTAAGAAAATGACTACTATTTATCGATCAACCTATACCTTTAAACGAAGCCACAATAGCTAGAAAAATACGTTGCAGAAAATTCATAGCATCGTTTGTACCATTAAATTCGTCTACATTTAAATATTTCGAAAAATCTTTAAAGAAGTATGTAAACATTAGCTAAGTCGGTTCTTTTTTTGCATTTTTCAATCGCTGTATATATTCTGTGATATTAAATTCTAACGAAGAACGGATTACTTGTTTTTAATTATTGTAATTACGCGTTTATGCCGCCCTGAATACTTGTCACACAGACTTCCAAGTTCAAAATTTTCCTAACTTTTTTTTATTTAAAAATGGATACAATCACAGTTGGGACGTTCCGTTATAACAATGCAGGCATCATTATACCGTCTTTATAGCCAAGTTTCAATTCTTTGACTAGTCACTGGACATTGCAAGGCAAAAGTGTAGAATTGCATATTACTTCAATCGAGCTCTTTACTTGAAAAGTGTCATAAGTCCAACATTCACAGAAATCACGATTTCTACAGAAAATTTGTAAATAGGAAAATATCAAACATCATGACCATATATTAACTAAACGGAAGTTTATTCTTAATAAATCAAAAAAGGTACTTTGTTCAATTGTCAATTGAAGGATCTAATTATTGTCCATCGAATTCGTTTTTAATTGAATCGATGAATTCACACAACATCGTTCGAAAGTTAGAAATCACTTATTTTTTGTCCTCAAATTTATTCTTTTTTAAGATAATTACTATCGCTAAACTGCTTTACACTTACTTATTAATATACCTTTGTAGTCACATAGTTTTCTTCGAAAACTATAATTTCTACCGGTAGAAATTTGTAATTTGACCTAATTATTTGAAAAATGGACGTTTACTTCAATTCGAGTTATAATCGCATTACAAGAAAAACGTATCTTGAGTGAATCTTCAATGACTCTTTGTTCCATTGTTTTGTGTGGTAAATACCTTTTCCCAAAATATTTTCTTCTACTTTAATTTAACGAAGATGTTAATATTTACCTTTTAATTGACTACCTTCTAGGTATCGACTGGAAATGCAAAAAATTTCTAACTTTTGTTTGTTTTTTTCCACTAAAAAAATGGGAATTCATTAATCATCGAGTAAGTGACCTCCATCTTTGGAGCGGCAGTGTACGCGAGTTCAGACGCATTCGTCGCTTCCTAGTGTAGAAATAACCGAGAATTATCAGCCACTGATTTCAGACGCTCTGATGGCTGATAATGAGTACAAAGTATAATGCACAGTATGACGATTTAGTGTTTGTAAGTAGTTGGATAAACAGCTGCTCGTAATTTATTGGGAAGCGGAGATCGGCGGAATTTTCAACTAAATGAAGTATAGTGCAATTAAATTTTGAAGTATAATAACTCAAATTATCAAATTATTAAATTTTAATTCATTGAGTTACATTTCCTAATTATTCTCAATTAATTAAGATATCAAATGTAGTTTTACATACTGTATCTTTGTTCAAAGACATATGACATACCATATTATTTATATAATAAATTTTTAAATTATAAAATATTGTTTTATATGAAATGTCTGCTTCGAAATAGATTCAAGTATTCGTTTCCTTTCATATTTGTTTTATTGTTCTTCTGTTCAGTTTAGTCAATTCCGTGGTCACCGTTCTAATCCTCATAACACAATTCCAATACAATCACTATTCTCCGGTAGATACCAAAAACTCAATCAACTATGGTTTATCACATTTTAAGTACTCCTACGAGACTAATGTATTTACATTCACTGTAAAACGTTTCATAAATATCAGCACCGCTAGTAAGTACTGTTTCCACCACTGTATACAAAATGTAATCATAAGAATTAAGCAACATTTAACAAATAAAAACCAAAATTGGACGAATTACGAATATCTTTCTCACATTCATCCTACTTTCGATTTTATTTCATACCTTGTATCATTGTCTAAGAAGTTAAAAAGACTGTTATGTAATAAGAGATCAATTCACTAGTTGATTGCCTACTTGTATAATGTTAACATTTAATCGATCGATTGGGTAAGTCCATACTTTCTTGAATTCGTATCGATTTTTCCGTTACTTGTACAATATTCCGTACAACTAGACAATCAATAATTAATCAGTTAGAATTACTTAACATTTATCATTAACAGTGATTAAATAAATTTAACAATAATTTAACAATAATTAATTAAATTTAATAATAAACAAAAATCTATAATAGATCAAGTATTAACGTTAATCATTTCTGATTATAATAAATTTTAAAAAATATAGATGATAATTATTAATAACTAAATTCAATATTTTCAATTACGTTCTATGTTATTAACTATGTACACATGTAATTTATAGTATTTCTTTTACTATATATTTTTATATTGAAATTTACTTAGACGAATCTGTCGATTGTTTAAATGTTAACATCGGTCCGAAAAGAACGAAGGCAATAATGAATTTATGCTAAACAGTCTTTCTCGCGTTCCATTTCGATTGGACCTTCACCCAAAATTTTCCGGTTCTTCGTGTAAGGAATAAGCCCTACCAGAAGTCCGGAAACGATAATCCAACCACCGGCCATGTTGAATGACATGTCCCACGAATTCGTTACATCGAATATCCAACCAGCCAGCGGCGGACCAAGAAGATTTCCTATACCTTGACATAGTAGACTAAGCCCGTAGGCTGTTGTAAATCTCTCCAAAGGTATCAATTCCACGAGTATCACCGGGGTGAAGCTAAAGCTACTCGCGAAGAATAGGCCGAACGCTGCCGAGGTGACCATTAGTAAGTTGTAGTACGGTGTTAATATTGACATTAAGATCGTCGCTATACCGCAGGCAACCAAACACCAAGTGTACGTTTTGCTGACGTTCATCCAAGGTTGATCCCCAGCCCAGCCGAGACCAATCTGTTAACAAACAATGTTGAAAAATCATTACAATACAGATTTATTAAATACTCATAAATTGTATCTATTATTTTGCTAAGTGAATTAGAATTGGTTAATTCTTGGACTCTAGTCAGGTCTCGGTTATATCTGTCCTCCTTGATTACGAGTTATATACATAACTTTATAAAATTAATTTTGAAAATAATCTGTGGTTAAGGTTGAAATTGGTATAAAAAAATAATTTATTTCATGTACCACCATATCTGTTAATTCTAACATAACATTTTTAACGAAGGTATTTAAACATTTCTGATGTAATTTGTTTGATTAACAAGATTGAATTACCATTCCAATTGTATTGGTGATGCCAATAATACTAAGGAGATTCGCAGCGTCAGATTCGGTGTAACTGTTCCTAGTGAGATGCTCGGCAAGGTAGAAGTAAGGCACGATAAACCAAGTGAATAACAAGATCGTTGACAAAGATAGTAATAAGAAGTGTAGTTCCAGGAACATAGAAAAGTCCATCATTCCTTTCAATAAATCTAATAGTTCGCCATACCATTTCTAGAAGTATATAAATTACATAACTGTAATAAATGACGCAAAATATTCTTAAAACAAGATAGTCTCCTTAATCGTCGGACCATATATTAAATATTACACTAGACACTATGTAGAATACCTAAAAAATATTCTAGAAACTTGTATAACGTATGTTATCATTTCTAAACTATAAACATTGACTTTTCCTATAAATTTTTAATATTGTAAAAATTATTAGAACAATGATAATAAATAAATTATATTATACCTCCTCGTTTTCTTTTGCCAATGTAGTCATGCTGTTTCTATAAATATCTGGACAGCTACTGGCTCTTAATCTGTACTTGTGCAAATTTAAGGCAGCACCGCGGTACATAACAGAGTTCCTGTGAACTCTAATATCTTTGAAATAGTGAGTATTTGTGTTGAATTGCCTCCTTAACCACGGAAGAGAGTCCGTTCGAACAACGCCACAATTTAGATCCCCTAAGCGTTGTTTAGAAATCGATTTCACTTTTCGTGCTTCAGCTTCCTAAAACAATTAGTAGATAATATCTGTAGGTAGAGTCAATAACGTGTAGATAATAAAATAAAAGAGTAAATAAAGAAAGAAACTTTCACGAAACACTTTACTGTTATTCTAAGTTTTCAATTATCTTAGTGTCTCAATAGAATTTTCTTAGTATTTGAAAAGAAGAAAAATCAAGAAATATAATATGTATAATTATTCACATAAATATAAGACAAACATCAAAAGTGATTAGTGTAAACCATTATACTCACTGAATGTTCAAGTTCTTTGGTCAACAAAGGGTTAGCCTCTTCAGATTCTTTTTTGGATATCTTCCTAGTAGTGTGATTTTTCACAGTGCCAGACACAGATCCCACATGAACATGGTTCGTTGTATGCAAATCGTCGCATTTCGGTTCGTCGTTTGCTTGTGTAATCCTTTAAACAGACACAAGTAACATTGAAATGATTGTAATTTAAATTTTAGATTTCTCTGCTGTGACTTACAGCCACAACAATATTCGGATAGACAACGTATGTATATTTCTTGGCCGAAGCTACCACCAACCTCATAGACATTGTGACGACGCTTTTGTTGCCGACTTCCCCAGCCGAATCGTTCAGCTTTTTATCCGAATAACTTCTACACGCTAAAATATTGGGATAGTTCTCCAGAATAACCTTGTACAGTCTCGGATTACTGGAAAGCAATTCCAATACCTCTACTGGAACCTGCAATTTTCAAAAATGTATGTTTTTCAGGGCGTATTTATTTTTTCGACGATTCAGAGATATTTTGCATAAATTATACACAAATTTCGTAAATGTTTAAAGTCTATTTAAAAAAATAATTAAAATCATTAAAATATAGATCACATTATGGCGTGACATTTTATTATGTTCAGAACTCCGTAATATTGAACAATGAGAAGATTAAAAAAAATGTAGCATTTCCTGTTTCGCTTTCAATGTAAAATCCGATAGCATCAAAAATAAATATTTCACTTGGAAGTGACCCTGAAGCACCTCAGAAATCACGCAAGGAGGGTAATTTTCGACGCAAACAGGAATCACGTTTCCTATTACTTTACTTTCGTATTGATCATTTGACCATGAGTCAAGATATATTTCTGTGAGCATGATACAAACTATAAATATCTCACGCCTGCTACTGTTTCATTTAATATAACACTAAAGTGCTTTAATGTTGCAACAATTGTAAATATAAAAACATAACATAATAACCAATACTTCATACAGTCGCTAATAATCTTCACGTCAGTACGACTGAACACTTTATAATTTTCTAAAACCAATAATGAATCAAGATTTCTTAATCGATCTTTCGATTAATTACTTCCATTTATTCTTTTAAAAATTAATTAAAACACTTCCCCAGATTTCAAAGGAAATAAGTAAAACTATCGGTTCCATAATCACGAAATCTCACCTTCTCATTATGCTTGACAAAAGTGGGCAAATTAACGACGCTCCTGAATTTAACATCCCCATTGGTTGCCTGCGGGTCCTCGGTGGTAGCGCCAAGTATCTGCAACAAATACTCAGGCGCGTGGCCGTTCTTCAACATTTTCCTAAGTTCCTCGACACCTGGAAACTCATCGGCAGTGCTCTCGGTGGATCTATCGCCTTCCGATTTAGTCACAGACTTCTTCGGCGTGTTCCCGTTCTGCTTCTGTTGCTCGACGATCCACCACTCCGGGTCGCGCATCACGGTCCCGCAGACGATCATATTGAAAAAGGTGCCGGCCAGAAGCAGGCAAGTGCCCCGCCAGCCGTATTCCTCGATGAAAAAGGTGGTCATCGGCGCGTAGACAAAGGTACCGATACCAGTGCCGCACGCGCCGAGCCCTACAGCTAGCGTTCGCTTCTTGTCGAACCAGTACGCGATGCTCACAACCGCAGTGACGTAGCACAGACCCAGACCGAGACCCGCGATGACCCCAAAAGTCAAGTACATTACCTCGATGGTGTTGCTGAAGCAGCTTAAAACAAACCCAAAGCCGGATATCAGGCCGCCAAGGATCGTCATGCTCCTACAGCCGTAACGATCGACCAGCGCGGACATAATGGGACCCGAAAGAAGCGGCACCGCCATAAATAGCGAGCCGATCCAAGCCGTCTTCGACTTGGACGCGCCGAATTCGTGGAGGAACTCTATGTACAGCAAACCGAAGCTGAAGGACACCCCGTCGGCTATCATGGAGATAATCAAAGAAGCCAGCACGACCACCCATCCCCAACCGCCATCCGGTACTTTCGACTTCCGCTGCTTTCCCTTGTTCAACTCCTCATCCTCGGAATCCAGCACGCTGTCTGAATCGATGGAGTCCCTTGTATCGTCTTCTCGATAGCCAGGGTTAGAGGTGATGATTGCTCTGGACTCTGAATAATTCTTACTGTTATCATCCTGGCTTCTCCCTAACAGTTGAACGTCGAGAGAGTTCAACGCGCTTTTATTGGTAGGACTAGCTCCCAGAGTAAGATTTGGAGAGGTCAGGTAGCTGCGGTCGAGAGGTGTAGGAAGAATTCTGTCCTCGGTGCAATCGGTCCCTGGACTGAGCAAGTCGATCTTATCCTCTAAATCCTCGCCCAGACTGAAATCTTTGCTACCACCTAGATCTGGGGATGTGGTTAGAAACGTATCTTTATCTGGCGTTAGGGACTCCACGCTTCGGTCGATGGTCCGAGCCGGTGTCGATTGAAGAAGCTTCTCATCGGCCAGGCTGCTGAGATCCTCGGTGTTCCCGGAGTCTTGAAGGACATCCGAGCTTTTTGTGGTCGAAGCGGTGCTCTGGGATCTGGACAATACCGCGGTTGGGTCGAGGGAGTCTGGATCAGGTGTATGACAAGGCGTGCTGGGGAATACTGTCGGGCTGCCATTTTGCCAGCCGACTATCGGTGCCCTTTTTGGATAGCGGTAATTTGTATTCGTTTGATCGGCCCTGTAGCTTGGTTTTTGGCAATGACTCTGATCTTGGGTGACGCTCAGCTCGTTTCTTTTGATCAAGTTAGCGGTCCCGTTGCTGAACACGTCGTTGTTGTTCCAGTTGCGTGTAGGCTTGTAGGAGTTCGACGACTCGTCCTCCTGTTCGCATAAGAGATTCTCGTTTGGGTCGGTCATGACGGTTCTTCTAAATGTAGGTGTTCGCCGAGTGGCTCCAACGGCGGGGCCAGCCCTTCAGCCCTTGGATCTCGCTGGGGAAGGATCGTCCGCGCCTCTCAGCTACCATAAGGACTTTCCAGCCGACCTTGGGTGGGTCAGAAAACGTCGGTCGCTTCAGCATGCACGCCTCGCCCGTTTGCTTATCCTGCGGGAAGAGGTATTCTTGTTAATTTCGGGATAAATCTGCACACCGATTTTGATCGAGCGATTGGAATTTTTTTTCTCTTTTTTTTAGACAAAAAAATTGAAAGTGTTAGAGGATGCAGATCGTGGTAGTCTTTTAAAGGCTATGTTAAGAACAGGTGATTTTTGGAAGCTAATAATTCCTCTGGAGCATGATTAGATGTTACATTACGATTTCATCTCCATAAGTTGACGACTTATTAGTAAAAATGATCATTCGAAAAATCATGCAGTAGGTTATTTGGAAGGGATATAATACATTTATGAAATAAGGATAGAATACAAGGAACAGAACTCATCATTTTGAACGGGGAAGTCGAATGAAGTGAAGGTCCGACTAAAAACAGTCTTATTCTACTTACAGCCTAGTCTACTATGAAATAAAAATTAGAGAAAACTTGAAATAACTTGGAACACAATGAAATATATATGTATATACCAATGACGTTAAATCTATACAAAATCTTTTAAAACCGAAAAGAAACTTTTACATTTGTCATTATACAAAGATTTTTTTTAATACTCATTGTAACAAAATTAGGGAGAACCTTGTGTAATCACGAATAGAGTTTACAGACTAACAAATGTTACATTGGTAAGGGGATACATGGAAAAAAATCAAGTACTTTTCACCGTAATAATATAAA